GGCACATCAATGACAAACCGGCATTTGATGCAGATAGTGATAGTAATAAGTATGTTCAAATTGATAATTGATAAAACATCAATTGACCGCGGTTACCATACTTTAACCACCTATACCACACGATACAAAAGTTGAGCTCAGCTCAACTCTAGCCATAACCCGGTAGACCATGGTTACTCAATGATACCGTGAATACAACAAGCTGCGATACCGCCTTAAGACTTTTAAAGGACAAACCACAAAAGTTTATTATGTAATGTGAGATGATATAAATCTTGATCCTTTAAAAATAATATAGAATAAAACATAAGACTGTATCTATTATACATTTGCTTACATTTTATAGATAAAGTAATATAACTATATTGTACGATATTCAAAACAACTTGTCATCTGTAAACATTATCGACCAACTGTTGTGTATGTGAGCAAAATTATGTTTTTCATATCACATAATAACATTTCTATAACTTAAGTTGTTATTGTTTTATGCCTAAAATATTATTATTTAATAAAATTATTATATTCTAAGTAGTGATTATTTCTGATCTACAATCTCCTTGCGATTTATGATGATTATGCAGGGTGATTTATGTTGTATCATGGGCCACTTAATATAGTATTTAATAGGAATTACATTTTTTCATATTGTGTTTATCCCATGTGATCTCAATTTTTCAGAACTTTTTTTTATTTTTATCCCCTTTCTAACTTAGTTTTTTTGACAGCATATTTTGAATTTTGAATAATGTATATGTTTTTTTTTTTTAGTAATAAGGTGAACCTTAACTTTTGATAACGAACTTATTGCAATCGTCGATTATAACTCAATACTTAATGTTAAGTAACTTATGGACTTAAAAATTTCATTAACTAATTGTCGATCAAAATATCGCCATAAGTTATACCAAAACAAATAGTATTATAAGAACATTACCAAATTTTAAAATGTAATTTACAATGTAATACACATATATTCTGATGTATTGATTTTTGTGATTATCAAAGTCGACTGTGTCCTTTTTTTTGGTTTATAAATGCTTAACCTAACTACTAGAGGTGGGTATTTCGAAACTAGGATTTTAAAAAACAAATATATAAGGTGCAGTGTTTACAAATTAGCATCTAAGAGTTTTTTTTGAATGGGATGTCATCTAAAGAAATACTACAGTAGGATAGGGGCATAATGGTATCAAAGAATAGAGGAGACGGAGTGGTCACAGGTCTTCAGAAATTATTATTAATAAAAATCTTAAAAACGGGTAAAATGTTTTTCTTATTTTTGCTTTTTAAGTGTAGTGTAAAGCGCTAAAGTCTGAAAAAAAATATCAAAAGAACATCTGCTGTTGTTTTTTGTTTTTTCCTATTCCTCTGAAAATATTTATCAACATTTGAATACATAATATAACTAGAAGTGCGTCATTCGAAACACGAATTTACAAAAACATATAGTTGGTAATATGTTGGAATTTTGAAAAAATAACATACTAAGAAACAGATGTCTAAAAAGAATCATGGTACAAAAACAATACTGAAATGTTAAGAACTATATTATTTTATTATTTTTTTAATAATTCTTAGTAAACCGTAAAATTTTAGTTGAAAAATATATTAAACTTTTTTTTAAATGTTTAAACGGAGTAAGAGTTTGGCTCAATTAAAACTATTAGGGACAAACCACAATTGATTATTAAACTATGTGAGATGACTCAAATCTTAATTCCTTTAAAATAAAATGCAATATATTCGATTTTATCATTTGCATATATTTTTTAGTTAAAAAAATATAACTCCATTATACGAAATTGAAAACAATATGTTATGGTTCGATCTGTAAACATTACCGAACAACTGTTGTGTATTTGAGTAAAATCGTGTTTTTCAAATAGCATTGTAACATTTCTAAATCCTATAGTATTATTGTTTTTATACTTAAAATATTATTATATAATAAAGTTAATACACTAATGCTATATATACTAATTAATATAAAATGCTTCCGTATATTCGTATATTGTATAAATCAGTGTAGAGAGTAAAAAACTCAATTGTCTCCATATATGAAAGAAAACTATCATGAGCATTTTTAATACTATATTTATTGCAATGCACCTTTATGAGTATAATCAAATACATACTATATTTCTACATTAATTCAGCACCTTCGAGCCTTTTGTAATATTCACACTTTTAATTAAATATTTATTCGAATTGAAATGTTTAACGTCATATCATAAAGGGTACAGGGAAAATACAGCTAAAGTCACTTTTCAAAATGGCCTTTTTTTTGTTATAAAATTCGTTTTGATACAAAATAAATCTGTTTTTTATTTTTAAGCTCGATTATAAACAAAATTTAACATTTTTTTATAAGTTGTAAGTATTTTGTTATTTTGATGTTTTTTCCCTGTACCCTTCTAATGTTTTTGTCTAACATACATGGTTTAACAAAAAAACTGTGTGTGTCACGGGACACGCGATTGATGTGAAACTTAGATATTATGTTATATATAGTTTTTTGATAGATACGTGGATGTATAAATATTATTGAATACGACTGAAGAAAATTAAAATGGAAGTAAAACAAATATTTGTATATTTATTGATAAATAAAATTATTTTATTTCTGTCCGAACCATACTCAATACGACCAATCATCCGTTTATAAATATCCATTTCACCAATACCGTTTGGTCATTGGTTTGAGTGGCGGTGGTGAGGGCGTTTAAGATTGGGATAGATTTAAAAAATGTACTTCATTATAATAATATTGCATATTGTTTAACAGTGTTCCGTATTAAATATTTTACGACAAAGTAATTCACACAATTTTAATACATTACTATACAAAAAAAAACATCAGAGTATTATTGTTCTGTTATTTCAAATATAATAATATTTCAAAATAAATGAATAATTAATCATATAATAATATATATTTATTTTATTATTCATTTTTTAGATGTAGGACTTTGAAATTTATTCTGTATCTTAAGAACATCTAGTATACACTAATATATACTCAAAAATTGAGTATGGTGCTTCCGTCCGTGTGCAGCAGTACAGCGTTGCTGTAGCTGGTTCAAATCAATTTGTCCAACGTACATGGTTTAACAAAAAAACTGTGTGTGTCACGGGACACGCTATTGATGTGAAACTTAGATATTATGTTATATATAGCTTTTTGATAGATAAGTGGATGTATAAATATTATTGAACCTAACTACTAGAGGTGGGTATTTCGAAACTAGGATTTTAAAAAACAAATATATAAGGTGCAGTGTTTACAAATTAGCATCTAAGAGTTTTTTTGAATGGGATGTCATCTAAAGGAATACTACAGTAGGAAGGGGGCATAATGGTATCAAAGAATAGAGGAGACGGAGTGGTCACAGGTCTTCAGAAATTATTATTATTACAAATCTTAAAAACGGGTAAAATGTTTTTCTTATTTTTGCTTTTTTAAGTGTAGTGTAAAGCGCTAAAGTCTGAAAATAAATATTAATAGAACATCTGCTGTGACGCTATTACAATAACACGGTTCGATCTGTAAACATTACCGACCAACTGTTGTGTATATGAGTAAAATCATGTTTTTCAAATCGCGTTATAATATATTATTATGTTATAATAAAATTAATATAGATTTTTTTAGGAAAATACAATACTCCAATTATATAACAATACTATGGATGCTCCTGTGTAATCTTACAGCTGACTTCAGTTCTTAGGAGTTATTAATGAAAACTATTAAGGTTTTTTAAAAATAATCTGGGTTTAAACTATTTAAAATTTTGAGTAAATTGTATATGGCCTATACATAAAAACAACCGAATATTTTACTTTAAAGCGTGTATACCTTACACCTTAACTACGCGATAATCTAATATAAAAAAAAAATGCGTTTTCATACTTTCCATCAGAAATATAATGTAAACGAAAAAATAGAATATACGGAAAAAATATTTAAAATTAATATTAATTAAATGAAAATACAGGGTGATCCAACTTAGTTTTTTTGATAGCAATTTTAGAAACTTAAATGTGTATATTTTATTAATTTTTAAATTGAGAATAATGTAATAAACATTTTTACTGGTCTAAAACCAGTTTCTGATAGCTATTTTAGTTATAAGAGTTTTTAACTTTTAAGTTAAGATGGGAGGGGAAACGTGGTTGGGAAATGCCCACAAATCAAAAAAAGACAATACTCCACTATTCCTCCTGCCCAAAACTGGAAACTTTAATAACTTTAAAAATAGTTATCCGAAACTGAAGTATTGTTTTTTCCTAATCAAATATATATATTCATTTTTTTACATAATAATATTTTAGGTATAAAAATAATAATACCATAGGTTTTAGAAATGTTATGATGCGATTTGAAAAACATGATTTTACTCATAAACACAACAGTTGGTCGGTAATGTTTACAGATCGAACCATAACATGTTGTTTTCAATATCATACATTGGTGTTATATTTTTTTAACGGAAAAATATGTACAAATAATAAAATCTATTATATTGCATATCATTTTAAAGGGATCAAGATTTGAGTCATCTCACATAATATATTAGGCTTTTGTAGTTTGTCCTTTAAAAGTCATAATTGAAAGAAGCTATACCCTTACCCCGTTTAAAAATTTAAAAAAAAATTAAACTAAAACTGTACGGCTTACTAAGAATTATTGAACAAATTATAGAATATTATGTTTCTTTATTTTTCAGTATTGTTTTTGTATCATGATACTTTTTAGACATCTGTTTCTAAGTATGTTATTTTTTCAAAACTCCTACTTATTGCCAATTATATGTTTTTGTAAATTCGTATTTCGAATGACCCACTTCTAGTACGATTTTGTATTAAAATGTTGATGAATATGTTCTGAGCAATTTGTACAAACAAAAAACAACTTATAAAACATGTAGTTTTTACTATTAACCAAACATTACGCAGCTTTTATAAGAAGAAAAATATAGTAGGTCACTACTAGTATTCCAGTTACTTCCAAAGGCAAACGACAGTCATCTTTATAAATATTGTCAAAAATGCATTTCTTGTGCACTGTTATGTTGCTTGTAGCAATTCTAACATTATTCTCAGGTATTTGAATAAATATAATTTTTGGAATTTCGTATAAGCATTAACCACCTAAATATAACATAATTATTTTGTTTTTCAGCGGTATCTGGGTCTGGATCTGGGTCTGAGGACTATTTTACACGTAAGTTATTTTCTTTGTTTACTAAAAAATGCATATAAATCTTTCCAAAGCGTACACTGTAGTAATTTGGAAGTATATTATTTTTGAACGAATTATTTATAAGATACTCATTTTTTAAACCTAAAAAAATGTTTTATTTCAGCATTTATAATATGTACAGATTATGTCTCATCATTAGATTATACAAGGTCTCACCATAATTGATCGATAATGATCATACAGCTAGAACCATAATTGTGTTTCCGATATTGTACAAGTGTACACATAACTAAAATTTCATTGTTCTAGAATTTTGTATAAATATTAATCACCTAAATATAACAAAATCCTTATGTTTTTCAGAGGCGTCCCCGCCTGTAAGACGTAAGTTAGGTTTTTTTAGTAAACATAGAAATCTTTCAAAAACGAATTATCAATTACAAATTTTTTAAATAACAATTATTTTTGAAATTTTTTATAAATATTTACCACCAAAATATAACAATTTATAATTTCATTAATTACCACTTGCTTTTCGTTATTCAGCTACTCATCCTCCGCCAAAATCGAGTAAGTTGTTTTCATTGATTTACTAAAAAAAATCATAGAAATCTTTCCAAAACAAATTATCAATTACAAATTTTTTAAATAACAATTGTTTTTGTAAATTTTTATACATATTAACTACCAAAAATAACAATTTATGATTTTATTACTTTCCACTACCTTTTTGTTTTACAATTTCAGCAACACCACAGAGTAAGTTTTTTCTATTGTTTTACTAAAAAAAGCATACAAATATTTTCAAAGCATACGCTTGAGTACCTAAAACCTAAAAAAATGTTTACAGCATTTATATTATGTATAGATTATGCCTGATCATTAAAATTTACAATGTCTCACCATAATTGGTCAGTAATGATCTTACAGCTAGAACTAAAATTTTGTTTCCGATAATCTACAAGTGTACACATAACCCAATTTTCATAGTTCTTAAAATTGTGTATAAATATTAACCACCTATATACAACAAAACCCATTTTTTTCAGTGGAGATCATCCAGGTGCCTAAAAGCTGTAAGTTATTTTCTATGTTTCACTAAAAATACCATAGAAATCTTTCCGAAACGAATTATCAATTACAACATTTTTAAATAACAATTATTTTTGAAATTTTGTATTAATATTTACCACCAAAATATAATAATTCTTCATTTCATTAATTACCACTACCCTTTTGTTTTACAGCTTCTAATCCACCACCATTTACTAAAAAAAGCATACTAATCTTTTCAAAGCATATACTTGTGTAATTTTAAAGAATGTTCTGGTATGGTGAACTAAATCAACTGATAAATAGTCATTATAATAATTTCCTTTAGCTGCATATCTAAGATCACTTTTGTTTATTTAACAAAATATGTTGCGTGATGTTACTGCCTTTAAAATGTTAATCGTGAGATAACTAGTTAGCGTCATTAGATACTAGTGAAAATTAAATTAAAAAAATAATTCGAGTTTAATTAATAACAACCATTTTTGAAATTTTGTATAAATATTAACTACCTAAATATAACAAAATCCTTTTGTTTTTTTCAGTGGAAAATGGGTCTAGGAAAGAAAAAAGTAAGTTATTTTCTTTGTTTACTAAAAAATGCATATAAATCCTTCCAAAGCGTACACTGAGTACCTAAAAACCTAAAAAAATTGTATACAGCATTTATAATATGTACAGATATGCCTCATTCTTAGAGTTTACAAAGTCTCACAATAATTGATCGGTAATGATCATACAGCTAGAACCATAATTTTGTTTCGAATTTCATAGTTCTAGAATTTTGTATAAATATAAACCACCTAAATATAACAAAATGCTTTTGTTTTTCAGACGGAAAAGCGGCTTATGAAGATAAAAGAAGTAAGATTTTTTGTTTTACTAAAAAAAACATACAAATTTGTTCAACTTGAGTAATTTTGTAGAATATTTATATTTTTGAACCAATTATCAATTACATAATTTTTAACCATAAATTATAGTATTTATAATATGTACAATTAAAATGATTCGCCTTTGAGTATACAGTAGTCTGGTGAACAAAGTCGTTTAAGTCATTATAATTTTATCCTTTATCTGCATACTTAACACCAATTTCATTGATTAACAAATGTTACGTGGTGTTAATGACTAAACAATTTTGACAATTTGTTTCATACCGACAAACCGTTTTTTTTAAATTTTGTTCCAAAACGTAATTATATGTTATTTATAGTTATCAGAGTCATAATCTCAACTTAGTATATTAAAAAGTTAAGGTTTTTTTTTTTCGTTTCTTTCATTCGCCAACAACAATACTTACCAAAATGCATTACTTGTAATTTGTTATGGTGCTAGTAGCAATGTTAAAGCACTCGAGTGTACATAAGTAACAATAATTTTTGAAATTTTTTATAAATATTAAACACCAAAGTATAACAATTAATAATTTGAATACTAACCACTGCCCTTCTGTTTTACAGTTTTACCAGCGCGTGAGTTATTTTCATTACTTAACTAAAACAAATTCATCCAAAAATCTTTCCAATTCATGTATTAAGTAATTTGAAAGAATAATATTTTTGAACGAACTATTAGTAAGACACACATTTTTTAAACCTAAATAAATGTTTACAGCATTTACAACGGTTTGACTAAATTATCTTTATTAACAAAATGTTAGTTAATAACTTACTACAAATGTACACAGTACAATTTTTGTACGTACAATAAAAAGAACCTAAATACATTACCTATAATATATATAAATTTTTTTAATATTACAGCAACCCCAAAAAAAAAACCAACTCCTAAAGATGTGAAAGGTTAGAATATGTTATCGTACCTAGAGTTAAATTATACTTTTGAGCTAATTATGCTTACTATTTAACTCTAAGTTATTTTTACTGAATTTAAATTATACAGGTTATCCTTACCAACAAAATGAAAATAATTTACTATAAATTTACTCTTTACTCTATAATGTACAACAGAAGGAACCTAAGTATATACATATTTATATATTTTTGTTTTTTAATTAAAGCTTTTTTAGATGAAAATGAGTAATAGCAACACCAGCCGGGCAATCGCCGAACGGGCAGACTACGTCATTATTCATTTAATAAAAATTATATAAATCATAAATGTATTATTTTAAACATAGCGCTTCACGCAATATATGTACACTTTTATTAGAATAAATAATAAATAAATAAATCATTCAACTATAAATAAAAAAAGAGCATTTTATTAATTAAAGGTAATATACGATTTTTTTGTGCTTAAGAGGATGTCATACCATTTGAAAATAATCGTAACTGTGTTTATGGAAAAGAGTGATTTCAAAGCGACATAGTCATAGAAAACATATTTCGATATCATTAAAAAGAAAAAAACTTTATCTAGATTCGCTCGTCGGATTTTTTGAGAAAACGTAAATTCTATTTTAATTACACGCGTTTATATAAGTAAAATAATGTCTTAATTAAAATAATAGTTATGAAAATTGTGTAGATAATATAAAAAACAAATCGACGGAAGAACCTAGATTAAGTTTTCATTATTTTAATTATGCAAAAAAAAATTGTCTTCTATTATTATTTAACCTATAATAGTGAATAATATGCGTAGTTATGTTTAGATGACATTTTTTCTTTGAATCGCTGTCAAAAAAAATGTGATGGTCCTAAAAAAAATTAATAAAAAAAAAAAAAGAGTCCTAACTCGAAACTAAACCAAGGTCTTATTCGTTAAAATAATATAATACAAATCGGTTATCAGATATTTAAGAAAAAATAATTAATTATTGCTAGAGCGCTTAAATGCCTTTCTAGCGAATTATTTTACAAAACGAACGATTCAAATAGATTGTGAAAAAATTGTGCAATTGTCTTAATGCAATAATAAGTCTTAGCTACTTATAGTGAATTTGATCATCTACGATTTCGCATTGAAACGTTTGTTCAAAAGTTTTTTTTAATACATATTTAGGAATATTTAGGCAAACAATAACCGACAAAACAACACATGTAGTTTTTTAGTTTGTACAAAACACTACGCAGTAAAAAAAAGAAGAAAAACTAACACTAGTATTCAAGTTACTTCCAAAAGCAAACTACGATTTCATATGTATATCATTAAAAATGCGTTTTTTGTACATTGTAATGTTGCTCGTAGCAATTCTAACCAAGTACTCCTCAGGTATTTATAAATAAAAATCATTTTTGGAACTTCTGTATAAATATTAACGTCCAAATACTCTAATACCTTTTTTTAATTCAGAGGTCCCAGGTGGCCAACAAACTAAACTTTCACCACCTCGTGAGTTATTTTCATTGTCATACTTAAAATAAATAGTACAAATCTTTCAAAGCATATACTTGAGTTATTTAAAATATTATTTTTCAACGAATTATCAATTACAAAAAATGTGTAATTGATAATTCGTTTTACAAAAAAAAAGTACATTTATAATTTCATTACTCACCACTACACATTTTTTTCCAGCAGCAACTGAGTCTTCGGAAGTAGAAGAACCCCCACTATCAAGTGAGTTAAAATTATTTGTTTTACCAAAATAAGCACACAAATCTTTCCAAGGCATACACTCGATTAAATTTTGATAGAACATTATTTTTTAACAAATTATCAATTGAGTAAAATTCAGGGGGGAGGGGATATTGAAACTTAAATGGTTACGCTTAGATCTAATTGGTTTTTTATGTTAAAAATAATTTGCTGAATAAATACTCCACCGACAGTTTACAGGATGTTCAGAGTTTCATGAATGACCTGGTATTTTTAAGATATACTAAAATCATAAAAATATGGGTAACGTAAAGTCATTTTGGTACGTTATCAAACATTAATAATATCATTTTTTTCCCTATCAAAAGCTTGAAAAAGGAGCTGGGAGGGAGAAGGGTTTAAATATTGAAACGTAAACGGTCACGTACACGTTTAATTCGTTTTTTTAATTTGTAATAACTTGCAGTAAATTTTGACTGGTCGATAACCAGTTTTGAGTTATTTGGCACTAATCAAAATGTTAGATTATTACCTAACCCAACCTACCCACTTTTTTTAGCGGAAACAGAATCTTCGGAAGAAGAAGAACCACATTCACCAAGTGGGTTATTATCTTTGTTGGAATAAAATAATAATTTGCTAAAAATGTTGAATGGTCGATAATCAGTTTTGAGTTATTAGATACTAATAAAATTACCAGAGTTTCAATAACAATAAATTTTGGAATTTTATATAAATATTAACCACCAAAATATAAACATTTGTAGTAGCTGCGGTAGTTGGGATTTCGAATACAGCAAAGGAATCACCAGGTGGGTTATTTTCATTGTTTTACTAAAAAATATATTAATTTTTTCAAAGTATACACTCGAGTAATTGGAAAGAATTTTCGTTTTGAGCTAATTATCAATTACACATTTGTTAAACTTAAATAAATTGTTTATAGAATTTATAATATGTATAATAATGCCTCATCTTTGTATATTTAGTAGTCTGGCGAAGAAAATCTATTGTTATATATATATATATAAAAAAAAAAGTCATTATAATGATTTCTTTTAGCTGCATATTTAAGACCACTTTTGGTTATTTAACAAATGTTGCGTGGTGTTAATGACTTTAAAAAGTGCTGAAAATTGGTTTTTTACTAACAAAACGTTGTTCAATTAGATTGTTTAATTGTTTCGTTGTTTAATTGTTCGATAGTAATGCCAAGGATATGAAAATATATCTGCGTTTTAAAATATTTTCAAAACACATATAATTCTCTGTCATCTTCCCAACTTAGTTAAACAAAAAGATTAGGAGTTTCTTTTAGTTTCTTCCATTCGCAAATGAGCAACAGTGCCAAAATGGATTTTTTGTACATTGTTATGGAATACGTACCAACGTTTTTAGCACTCAGGTATACATAAAAAACAATAATTTTTGAAATTATGTATAAATATTAACCACCAAAATACAACAATTTATAATTTCATTGCTCACCATTATCTTTTTATTTTCAGTGCGTTGTGCACTTCCACTACCACGTGAGTTATATTCTTTATTTTATTAAAAAAACGTGCCTAATGGCAAATTTGAAAGAATATTAACTTTGAACGGTATCAATTATACGATTTTTCAGACTTAAATAAATATTTATAATATGTATAATGAATGCAGTATTATTCAGTATACAGTGTTCAGAACTTCATAGCCTGTGTTTTTTATGATAATATACTAGAGATTGGCGAAATGGGATAGGGGGGGGGGGGAAATATCGATACTTGAAGGGAACATTTAATTCGATATTTATATTTAAAACAATTTGCTGAATATTTTGTCTGGGCGATAACCAGTTTTGAGTTATTAAATACTAATAAAATTTTTTAAATATCATAATTTTTGAAATTTTGTAAAAATTGTACCTGTTTGTATTTCAGCGAATCTCCAACCAAAAGTAGAAGAAGAAGTACAACAATCATCAAGTGAGTTATTTTATTTGTTTTACCAAAAAAACTAACCTTTTAAACTTAATAAAAATATGTATAAATATTTAGTAGTAGTATTTTGTATGTATTATATGTATAAATATCAACCACTGAAATATAAACATATATAATTCCACTACTCATTTGTTTTTCAGCGATTCTACATCCAAAAAAAGAAGAAGAGCCACGACCACTATGTGAGTGTTTTTTCTATTTTTTAATAAAGTATTTAATCAATGCCTTATGCTACAGTTTTCATGACCGATCTGGTTTTTTGATGATATACTGATGATAAATTATTAAAAAAAATTCGCTACGTTATCCCTTTTTGATTTTTTTATCAAACAATGATTTTAATTCGCTTTCAGTCAAAATCTGCACTTATTAAGTAGGAGGTTAGGTAAAACGGTTAACGTACACATCTACTGACAATTTTATCTCACTGAACTATAAACATTTATAGTGGTTGTGGTAATAATATAATAATAATTTGCTAAACATTTTGGCTGGTCGATAACTAGTTTTGAGTTAATAGATACCAATAAAAATATTAGAGTTTGAGCAACTATCAATTTTGGAATTTTGTATAAATATTAACTACCGACATATAAACATTTATAGTAGTTGGGACTTCGAATACAGGAAAAGAATCACCAGGCGAGTTATTTTATTTTTTTTACAAAAATAACCGTACAAATCTCAAAACATTACAATTGAGTAATTTGAAAGAATTTTATTTTTGAGCTAATTATCAATTGTGGATTTTTAAAATTTAAATAAATATACATAGAATTTATAATATGAACATTTACATACCGATAAACCGGTTTTTAATTAATTGTTCGAAAATTATGCTAAGGGTACAAAATGTAATTGTCTTTTAAAATATTTTCAAAATGCAAATTGTTGTCAGTCATCATCCCGTCTTAGTTCATCAAAAAGATTAGGATTTTTTAGGATTAAGCTTTTCCATTCCCATTCAATAATCAGCGCCAAAATATGCGTTTTGTACATTGTTATGGTGCCAGGAGGTTGATACGTTGGTGTTTAGCACTCATACATAAATAACAATAAATTTTGAAAATATGTATAAATATTAACCACCAAAATACATAATTGGTTACATTCACATCTAATTAGGTTTTTATATTTAGAATAATTTGCTGAATATTATGTCTGAGCGATAACCAGTTTTGAGTTATTAGATACCAATAAATTTGTTAAAATAATATAATATTTGTAATTTTGTAAAAAAATTGTACCTATTTGTTATTCAGCGAATCTCCAACCAAAAGAAGAAGTACAACAATCATCGAGTGAGCTATTTTCTTAGTTTCTCTCGTAGCAACGTTTAAAAAGTCGTGTGCAACAATAATTTTTAAAATTTTGTCTAAATATTTACAAAACTTTATAACAATTTACTACTTCATTCCTCACCACTATCCTTTTGTTTTTCAGAGTTTCATGTACTTCCACTACCACGTGAGTTATTTTAATTGTTTCACTAAACAAAAACATACAAATTTTTTCAATACGTTTCAAATTTTTTTAAAATAATATAACTTTTGGAATTGTTTAAATATTGTACTTATTTGTATTTCAGCGAATCTCCAACCAAAAGAAGAAGAAGAAGAAGTACAACAATCGTCAAGTGAGTTATTTTATTTGTTTTATCAAAAAAAGCAACACATATTCCAAAGCACACACAAAAGTAATTTGAAATAATATTATTTTTGAACAAATTATCAAGTACACATTATTTAAACTTTAATAGAAGTATGTATAAATAATAGTGGTATGTAGTATCTATGTATATATATTAATCACTGAAATATAAAAATTTATATTTTCATTACTCACCACTACTCATTTGTTTTTCAGCATATCTCCAACCAAAAGAAGAAAAAGTACAACAATCATCAAGTGAGCTATTTTCTTAGTTTCTCTCGTAGCAACGTTTAAGAACTCATGTGTAACAATAATTTTTGAAATTTTATATAAATATTTCCTAAACTTTATAACAATTTACTACTTCATTCCTCACCACTATCCTTTTGTTTTTCAGAGTTTCATGTACTTCCACTACCACGTGAGTTATTTTAATTGTTTCACTAAACCAAAGCATACAAATTTTTTCAATACATTTCAAATTGTTTTAAAATAATATAACTTTTGGAATTTTGTAAAAATTGTACCTATTTATATTTCAGCGAATCTCCAACCAAAAGAAGAAGAAGAAGTACAACAATCGTCAAGTGAGTTATTTTATCAAAAAAAGCAACACATATTCCAAAGCACACACATAAGTAATTTTGAAATAATATTATTTTTGAACAAATTATCAATTACACATTTTTTAAACTTTAATAAAAGTATGTATAAATAATAGTGGTATGTAGTATCTATGTATATATATTAATCACTGAAATATAAAAATTTATATTTTCATTACTCACCACTACTCATTTGTTTTTCAGCATATCTCCAACCAAAAGAAGAAGAAGAACCACAACAACCATGTGAGTTTTTTTTGTGTCTTATAAAAAAACAATGTATGTAAGAATATACTAATAGTGTGGTCTAAATATATAGTATACAGTAAAGGTGAAAAAAGTAAGATGCCCACTACTAACCCTGAAACAAGCGCAAAGTCAGACTATTTTTTAGAATTAAAGGTAAATTATTCTCTTAACTATATTATGTTCACTATTTAACTTGAAGTTACTTTAACTGTAAATAAAATATACACTTTATCATTATCATCAAAACGAGATTTAATAACCATTAACCTAATACAGATGTACACAGTACACAATGTTTTAAATATAAACTATATTTTTGTACGTACAATAAAAGTAACCTAAATATATAAATTTATTTATTTTAAATATTACAGCAAAGGAGACAAAAGTAGGATATCCTCTACCAACCCTGGAACAAGTGCAAGGTTAGACTGTGTTATTTCACTTAGAGTTAAATTTTGCTTTTGACTAAATTATGTTCACTATTTCAATTACACAACTTTAGTTATAATCAATTTACTGTATATAAAATATACGGTTTATCCTTAACGACAAAACGAGAGTTAATAACATAATACAAATGTACACAGTACACTATAATGCACAACAGAAGGAACCTAAATTATATTATATATACTTATGTATTTTTGTTTTTTTAATTACAGAATTTTTAAAAGGACAGCAGAAGAACTAGCAACACCAGCCGCGCAATTGCCGAACGGGCAGACTATGTCACTATTAATTAAATACAATTTATATAAATCATAATTTTAATTATTTTAAACATAGCGCTTTACGCAATATATGTACACATTTATTAGAATAAAATAAAATAAAAACCTACTGTGTCCATGCAAATAGTTAATAAATCGTTTAACTATAAATAAAAAAAAGAGTATTTTATTAATTAAAGGTAATATATGATTTTTTTTTGAGCTTAATAGGACGTCATACCGTTTGAAAATAATCGTAAAGTGTACAACTGTATGTTTTAATAAGACCTGTAATTTTACGTGATACTCTTCTTTGATTAATGCTTGTCACTAAGATAAAGTATTATAGCTATTGGGTCAAGTTAGTGGAATCTCGGATCCTACACGTGTATTTATAATTGCACGAACTTCTACACGTGAATTCGAACTACACGAAGTTTTCCTACCCTTGTACTTATTAAGACACTTAATGATTCTGATACGACAAAACCACTGTCGTTATCTCGTTATTTTATAGTCTGCGTTATATAACCTTACCGGAGGTCAACTATGAGTATATAAGGTCTAACTACCTGCAAATTATGAAGAAGACTGTTGTTTTTTGGATTCAGATTAAGTGTTGGTTTTTATGCAGTATACCGCCTCAAAATGTATTTTTTATTACACAATTTTTTTAAAGGAAAACTAATGTTTTGCATATTGTTATACTGTTATTCATTTAAAGAGATTCACGTTTGATTGTTTAAATTGTCTAATATTAGAAAATCTGCTTCGTGCTATTTTTAATTTTTTAGTTTATCAACTTGTAGCTCTAATTTTGTATAAAATATTTCATTATTTTATTTCTATGTACAAATTAAGATAAGTTTTAATAATAATTAAGTCATAAATGATAATACTTTATTTTATGACTAGATCAAATCTCGTGAACATTTAACATCATGATACTGCTCCTATGCTATTATTAAAAAAACACAATTTTTAAAATCTCCATAAAAGGTTATTGTTAAATAACAGGCAACAGTCGACCGCTAGTGGCTATACACGTTAATAATATTTAACTAATAAGTAATATATGTAGCTAAAATTTATTGTTTTCTCCATCACAGTACCAGTATACGATTTATTTTAATTTAAATGAAAGAAAATCGATTTTTCTTTAGAAAATAACAAGAAATTAATATACAGGATGAGGCAGCAAAACGGCGATTTTTTAATGTATTTAAATGGGAAAACCCGTTTCACTATCCCACCCTTTACATTTTAAGGATCTATGAATAGGTTTTTTTAGTTGCATTTTATTTTGTACATTGTCAATCTAATAAAATTGAAGTATAATATAGCTTCGAAATAATATAATCTATGAAGTATAAATATTTTGTGTGAGATTGCTCTAATGGAAGTATATAATACATAAATATTAATTTTATTGAGAATAAGCGGTTATAATTTAAACTATGGAGTACAAACGATTGAAACATGAATCGGCGACCATTCAAACAAAATATAACAAGACATTGTATATGTGTTATTTGGTCCACTACGTTTTTGCAAAAAAAAAAAAACAGTACAGTGGGGTCGGGGCATAGTGGGGACGGAGCATAGTTGGGTCGGGGCATAGTGGGGACGGGGAGGTCACAGTTTTACAGGAATTTTTAAATCTGAAAGTGATAAAATCACTTTCGAAAAAACGCTTCGATGCAAATCGGTAGTTAGTATTTTCAAGCCAGTACAGTCCAAACCAAGCACAGTATAAACCAGCAAAGTTAGAAAGTTTTAAATGAAGGTTCTGTATTTACAAATGAGCATCAAAGCGTTAATTTGAAAGTGATTTTATCCGAGAGGACTAGTACAGTAGAGTATTGGCATAATGTAATCAAAGCAATGAGGAAACGGAGAGGTCACAGGTCTACAAGAATTATTATAAATAAAAGTGATAAATTGAATAAAATCGCTTTCAAATAAACGCTTTGATGCTCATTTGTAAATACAGAACCTTCATTTAAAACTTTCTAACTTTGCTGGTTTATACTGTGCTTGGTTTGGACTGTACTACCGATTTGCATCGAAGCGTTTTTTCGAAAGTGATTTTATCACTTTCAGATTTCAAAATTCCTGTAAAACTGTGACCTCCCCGTCCCCAATATGCCCCGACCCAACTATGCTCCGTCCCCACTATGCCCCGACCCCACTGAACTGGTTTTTTTTAATAAGTCTTAATAAGCCGTACAATTTTAGTTGATAAATATTATACATTTTTAAACGGAGTAAGGGTTTAGCTTCAAATTGTTTTATTAATACTAAAAAATACATGTTTTGTAAGTTGTTTTTTGTTTTTCCCTATTCCTCAGAAAATATGTATAAACATTTGAATACATAATCGAACTAGAAGTGCGTCATTCGAAACACGGATTTACATAAACATATAGATCGTAATATTTTGGAGTTTTGAAAAAATAACATACTAAGAAACAGATGTCTAAAATATATAACGCCATTGTACAATATTGAAAATAACATGTTATGGTTCGATCTGTAAACATTCCCGGCCAACTGTTGTGTATATGAGTAAAATCATATTTTCAAATCGCGTTATAACATAGATAATACAGATAATATTACAATGTGAATTTGATATATGTTAGTTTTAATCATATTTTTACATTTTCATGTCTTAGCTCTGGCACAAAACCGAAAAGAGCGTTACCCAAAAAGCGTAACAAAAAAGCGTTACCACACGGAGATGGGGTTGGGGACGGGAGATAGGGGTGAAAATAAGCCGGTACATAACCGAAAAAAGCGTTACGCTGTTATCTGATATGAGAGAAGTGATAGGGGTGAGTGATAGGGTGGGAGATAGTGGGTAGGGGATAGGGGTAAGATATAGAAGATAAGAGATAAGAGATATGTTGTACGTTCAACGTTCAAATTAGAACTAAATAATAAATTAAAAATAGTTTAATTCTCTATGTTAAGTTACTTTTGGCCAGATAATAAACACTACAATTTTAGCCAGAAACTTGATTGTACATAATTTTTTAATTTCCTTGGCCTTATGCTGTAACTGGAAGCTCCATGTAATTTTTTTTTTTGTTATAACTCCACAACTAATCTTAATTTATTCGGTACTTGACATGAAAATGATCTATCGTGGTTGCAGACTCGGCTGAAAAATGGCTGATTTTTTTTTAGCATACAATATGCTTTAGCCTTGTCCCCCAGCCCAAAAACGACACTAAATTTTGACTCTAAATTGCTATACTAAATTAGCGCGCCTACTATGAACATAAGATGCCATTGAAATAATAACGAGTTGTCGCAGCTTAGGTTTTAACCCCCTCCCAACTTAGTATTTTTGATAGAAACTTTTGAAATTAAATGGTAATGCATATATTTCATTAACTTTTTAAATTTAGAACAATTTACCAAACACTTTAACTGGTTGATAACCAGATTTGATCAACTATTTTTTAAGTTATAAGATATTAAAAGTTAGGATGGGACCCCCTCCCACTTCTCCAGTGCGGTTAAAAAATGCGCGCAGATAAAAATAATACTACACTCCAACTTTCCTCCTGCCCTAAAATTGAAACTTCAATAACTAAAAAATAAATAAGCCGTACAATTTTAGTTGAAAAATATTATACATTTTTATACGGAGTAAGGGTTTAGCTTCAAATTGTTTTATTAATACTAAAAAATACATGTTTTGTAAGTTGTTTTTTGTTTTTCCCTATTCCTCAGAAAATATGTATAAACATTTGAATACATAATCGAACTAGAAGTGCGTCATTCGAAACACGAATTCACAAAAACATATAGATGGTAATATGTTGGAGTTTTGAAAAATAACATACTAAGAAACAGATGTCTATGAAGTATCATGGTACAAAAACAATACTGAAAAATAAAGAACTATAATATTTTATTATTTGTTCAATAATTCTTAGTAGGCCGTAAAATTTTAGTTGAAGTATATTTTAACCTTTTTTCTAATTTTTTAAACGGAGTAATAGGTTTATCTTCAATTTTATTTTTATACGACAAACCACAAAAGTTTATTATACTATATGAGATGACTCAAATCTTGATCCCTTTTAAATTATAGGCATTATAATAGATTTTATCTATTTTAAAGTTGCACATATTTTTTAGTTAAAAAATATAACACCATTGTACGATATTGAAAACAACATGTTATGGTTCGATGTGTAAACATTACCTGCCAACTGTTATATTTTTTAGTAAAATCCTGTTTTTAAAATTGCATCATTTCTAAAATCTGAGATATTATTGTTTTATACTTAAAATATTATTATATAACAAAATGTATAAAGTATTTATTAGGAAAAAATATTACTTCAATACTTGTGCAATATCATTACCGACCAATTATGGTGTGTATGAGTAAAATCAGGTGTCTAGGCGAATTCAGGTCACATCAAAACAAAAGGGCTTTGTGAGATCTGTGTCAAAATTAAAAACATTGTTGAGGAAGAGGGGGGATATCCTTGATTGATTGTTTATGTAATTGTAATACAAGGGTTTAGAGTTGTTAATCCAAAAGAGTTTCCAACAAAATCAACATGACCCAATAAGATGGATTTCACCATCAGTTTGAATGCTGAGAAATTAGATATACCCATCATATTGTTAATATATAGATAAATAATTCGTTATTTCTTTCAAATTTAAATGAAAACTTGATTTAGCAATTTTTTTTTTTCTGGCACTGTTACGTACAAATGTATTGCTAATATTTTGTTATAACTCGTAGAACGAGTAAAAATGTTTTCTTTATTTTGCTTTTTTAAGTGTAGTAAAGCATTAAAGTCGGAAAAAAAATATTAAAAGAACATCTGCTGTGACCCTATTACAATAACATGTTTCGGTCTATAATCAATGCTGACCAGCCTTGTATATATGTGTAAAATCATGTTTGTCAAATCGCGTTATAAAATATTATTGTGTTATAATAAAATTAATATAGATTTTTTTAGGAAAATACAATATTCCAATTAT